TTAAATCTTTTATTGATAACATGACTGCATAGTATTAATTTAATTGTTGACAGAGATAAAAACATACAATTCTAATACATTGAAGCCAAGAGCATTGTGCGTCAAAACCCTGTGGGATATTTTGAATTGGGGCAAAATTGGTTATCTTAAAGTCAAAGGACTAGCATGACAGGTATGACACACTTATAGTCTAGTCAATCTGGCCAAAAAAGGGTCAACTTTGCGAAAATCTGAGGAGAAAAAAGTAAGACGGATTTCCATGTAATGTTGGTCGCTGAATCCGAATCTGATGTTAGCCAACTTTTGCCCGGAAATGGCCGCCATCTTGAAAAAATGGCGGAAAATCACGTTTTTCCCCGAAATCCCCCAAAATCTCACTTATTTTGGGGTTTTCGACTAAATGAGTTATCTTCATATTAAAAGTACGTAAAATTTCCTATCAAACGGTTTTTAGATTTTTGAAATCGAACAATTAGGGTAAAAGTTATGGGCGGTCGCGTTAGGGGTGGTTTTACGGGTTGATGAGTTTTTCATAAAATTTGCTGCGTAAAAACGCTGTAATGCCGTTGGAAGTGAAACGAAAAATCCGAGAATGGTTTGCATATGTCCCCCTTGGTACCAGTGACCCTCCGCCATGAAAAAATCCCCCACCCCCGCGGCCACGCCCCTCCCCCCGCGCCCCTCATTCAATGTGCACTTTTTTCAATTAAATCACACTAATTAAAAATGTCGAAAATGTATGCAAAACCCTCATGGACCACTTGGTTTTCCAACTCCCATCATCCCCCTTAACCCCGTTATGACCCCCCTCACCTATCCTTCCCTCCTCAACCCCCTCCCCGCCCCTCCACCCCAAACCCTTATTAGCCATATAAGAGCCACCGAACCGATTCTGAAAGAAAGATTTTTTTTTATAGGCGGGGAAAATCTTTTAAAGACTTCATCTTAGGCAGCTAGGAACCCAAGATGGGTGTGTGGGATTTCCACCCACTAAAAACCCCTCCGCTTTGGGTGCGCAAATTGAAAAAAAAACACTGAATGAATGTTGTCTTGAATCCGTGGTAAAAATTAGCAGTAGAGATCAGTGTTCCAAAATACTATAGACCTACAGACGGCTGTAAGTTTTCCTATAGCGTCTGTAGCCGACTATGCAATTTCTAATAGCCTTTCATGGCCCGTGGCCAAAAAGCTACAGCCAGGCGATATACTGTATAGCCCGGTGATATACTGAATAGCCCGGTGATAGGAACCATAGCCTGGCTGTACAATTGTTTATCGCTTCGTGTAGCCCGGCTGTATAATTTTTTATCGCTTCATGTAGCCCGGCTGTGTGATTTTCTTCGCTCCCTACAGCCAGTTATATGGCATTACAGCGTTTTTACGCAGCAAATTTTATGAAAAACTCATCAACCCGTAAAACCACCCCTAACGCGACCGCCCATAACTTTTACCCTAATTGTTCGATTTCAAAAATCTAAAAACCGTTTGATAGGAAATTTTACGTACTTTTAATATGAAGATAACTCATTTAGTCGAAAACCCCAAAATAAGTGAGATTTTGGGGGATTTCGGGGAAAAACGTGATTTTCCGCCATTTTTTCAAGATGGCGGCCATTTCCGGGCAAAAGTTGGCTAACATCAGATTCGGATTCAGCGACCAACATTACATGGAAATCCGTCTTACTTTTTTCTCCTCAGATTTTCGCAAAATAAAATGCCAGATTGACTGGACTATAATAGGACCGATGAGGCGAGAGCGGATCTAGAAATTTTGATCAAGTTTTCAGAAAAAGAAAAATTTCTGCGGTACTCAGTTTCAAGGCAACAGTTAAAACAGAACAAAGTTTCTGCCGAATACGACAAGGTTTCATCAAATTTTTGGAGCTAGGGCAGTAAGCAGAGGTTGGGTATGTTTTTGAGACAAGTCAGGTAAAAAATTAAATTTCAACTTATTTTTGAATACCTCTTTGCAATCTGATTATATTTAGTCAAGAAATTTTGGGTTGACGATTCCAAGGATGACGCAATGCCATATATTTTTCAGAATTTTATCAGTATTTGTGCTAGAGAAGGGAAATAAAAACTATTTTCTGCTATGATTCCCTTTTTTCTGGAAGTACCCTTATATCTGATACCGCACCATTACGGAGTCGCTGGAATATCGCACCCTGTCAGGAGTGCAAATAGTGCATATGAAAATCCGAAGATTGGTGGTTGCACACTTTCAGGATAGTTCTCACAAAAGTATTTCATTCGTTTAGAAACGCTACTGTCTTCCTGATACAGGGTGGCCTAGAGCTATCGCACCAGGCCTTTTTCTTGGTTATTTTAGGTCTGATAAAGTCCAGGTGCAGGTGCTAATACGGAATCGACCTGAAGGAATCCGAATTTTATGGTCCTGGAGCCCCCCCCCCCCCCCCCTTTCATTGGGGAGTAAAAGGGGAGTCCGTACTTCATTTCATTAGTCAGGGTTTAAGTCAAAATTTTGAAATTATTTCATACGAATCGGAAAATACAAATAAATTCAATGTTGACTGCAAGAAAACCAAAATCGGCCCAACCGTGTCCGAAATACTAACTCCTAAAGGTGGGGGATGGAGCCCCCCTTCAAAAACTGCAAGTTTGCTAAAATTATGTAGAGGCTCGGAGAAAATTTATTACATGAGTATTCGACCCCAAGGAATCTGAATTTGAGGGTTTTGATGTCCCAAAAGGCTTCTCTAGCGAGGTAAAAGGGTGGCCCCGCACTGGTTCCAACAAGTTTGGAACTCCGTGTATTCCACCAAAGAAGCCTCTGGGGATGACAGGACCCTCAAATTCGGATTTCTTGGGGTCGATTACCCACAATTTACATCTTTTGGGGAGCTTCTACGTCAATTTAACGAACTTGAATTTTTTGAAGAGGGGCTGCTTCTCCTTTTGAAAAAGAGAGAATCACTCTACTTACTTATGGGATAATGTAGTATCCGAGCTTAACACTGCTGTCTAGCGCAAAGAGTATGAAAGGTTAGAGGCCCGACTAAATGCTAACAAATTGAAACAGAGGCGCTCGCTGTTAACGTACACAACTTCTATTTTCTATTGTTTTCCAGTGACTGGCGGCGGGTATATGGCTACCGGACCACCTTACGCAAGCGCGTCTTAGAAACCACACCTCATGTGTTTTCAAACTTCCCGCTCGAGTGGGCTCCCGCCGACGTCATGCACTGTGGAGGTCTTATCTTCGTTTTTGGAAGGACAGACCTAGTCTCGTTAGGCCATGCTCACAGTCTCTTGATCATTTCATTCTTTTTCACCCACCATGAAAGTTCTAGGTCCATAGGTTGTTTAGTGTTCAGTCTAGTCAGGACTCCTGAGCGTCGCCGCTTATCCGCTCCTTGTATATATCCATGTTAGCCTTTAGTGTATTGTGAGCGTTGCCGCGCACTTACTCCAGCATAGGTGTGATGCACCTGGAGCGCATATTATTCCCCCTGTGTCCACCCATGTAGAGAGAGGTTCCTTTTGTGTCACTGTTGTTTCTGTACATGTTCATTTTAGTCATCTATTACAGTTTGTTCACCACCATTTCATTCTTCTTCATTTCATCTCACGTCTCCTGAGTTTTAGTATAGAGGTTGGCTCTCTTAGCCATTTTGCTGGGATAGCCGCCCTCTACAATAACCCTTTGATTTTAGCCTCCTTGAGGTGATTCCAAGTGATTTATGGGGACGAAATTCACCACTTCGTTGCGCTGCATGCAGTTTGTGTCTATGAGCAGCAATCATTATCGTTACTTACAAGTAAATCCAAAAAACTGATCCACAACGTGTAACAGTATTAGTACTGAGTAGAATGACATCAAAGTGTAGATTCATGGTAAAATACCTTAAACTACGATGACGGACGTCGCCTATTGACTCAATGTGTGAGAAAGGGATAGTGCTGTAATGACTCTCTCTTACACATTGAGTCAATTGGTGACGTCCGTCATCATAGTTCAAGTATAAAACAATATATCTTGACAAATTTGATGTCATTCTGCTCAGTGTTAATGCTGCAATGGATCAGTTTCTTGTATTAACTTGTACGCAACGGTAATTATTGCTTCTCAAAGACATAAAGACACTGTGAGACAGCACAGCGTGGTCGCAGATCTAGTCCGTAGATCACATAGAATCACCTTAGGTAAAAAGTCAATTTCAAGCCTAACTCCACTGATAAGGCACGCTTCAAATAGATATGCAGATGCTTGAAATATTCTTTCAAATGTCTTACTTAATTGTTTAAGGTTACTGAAGTAGTATGGCACACTCGCACCAGAACAGGCTTCAATTTAAAATGAGGTGGGTAGATAAGAAAGTAGGCACCATAACCTCTTCAAATGACATTACAACCGTGAAACTCCCAAACCTTGTACCTCGTTTGCGGTGTTAAAAATCTCCACTCCTATTTTAATTATTTAAGAGAGAACAAATCAACATCACTCCTTAAAGTTTTTTCAGCATTTGCCTCTTACAGAGAAGAAAAGTCAAGGAAGTTTTTAAGAATTGACGTGGAGTACTTGCCCAGTTAGGAAGTCAAGTATGACAGGAAGTCTGCAATATTGCAAATCAAGTTATGTAATTTGGTAGAATCACCATCGATTGGGGACTTTATTTTTACAAATGAGGCCTTAAATGCTATTTGAATTGTTTTCAGTGCCTGAAAGTACCTCCGGAACCAAGATTTGTACTAAACCGCCCCATTGATCGGAGCTATGTAGAATTGCTCCGCAATCACTTGTTGGGAAGGCTTGTAGTCTCTATTTGAGCTGGGCTGTAGCAAAAGAAGAGCAGGCTCAGAGCCCGATGCAAGGCCTAGTTCAGCAGCATGACAGTCCGCTTGAGGAATTGGCCAAGTGCTATTTAAAAGCCATAATGTGCTTACTGGAATCCATATAAAAGAGATTTTTCTCGGGAAATCGTTACATTAAAATTTGGCGGAAAAATTTAACATCAGATTTTCAAGCATAAAATAAAAATAAGGCTAGATCAATAAAAAAATATACAAAACACTTTTACCAATGATAATCAACGATGGAACCATATCGAGTTTGAAACATTAATTCCATTAAGTTGGACGGATCTTTGATACTGAATAAAGATAAATTTTTCCCTCCAATAACAACACCTCCCTGTGAGACAAAAAATTAAAAAAAAAAAAAAAAAAAAAAATTAGAATGAGACCAAAAACAAAATTGAAAATAGTGGTATGTATCTCATTGGGGCAGCACTTTTGTACTGATAGTGAGTTTTGAGGTTTCATTTTTATTTCATTACCATATTTTATGCTTTATCTATGTTTTGTGACAGAGCTTCTGCGTCAATTGGTCAGTGCTTGTGTTTCATTTATTTCAATGTTGGTCTCTCTTCTCCCTCATTGATGCTACTTACATTTTCTTATACCTGAAGGTTTGGGTGTCCCCGACTACCCGTACTAAGCTTTTTTCTCGGTTGTTTTAGCTCGTACGGAGTGACGGACCCGGGGGTTGAAAAGAGGAATGATCCGAACGAATCTAAAATTCATGGCCCCAAAATCACCCAGTCACCCTTGCAAGGTTAAAGTGGGGGGGGAGAGGTTACAATCCTGAAAGTTCCCATAAGGATCGTGCACGATTCTTTCTCTTGGGTAACAAAATTGAAGTAGATTCTCCAGAGGAAGATAAAGGCCCAGGTAATCAACCCAAAGAAATCCGAATTTCATGGCCTCGAACCCCCCCCCCCCAGGCACCCTTGAAGGGTAAACGGGGGATCTCAATTTTAAAAGTCGGGGCTCATTTCCAAATCGTAAATTGATTGCATCCAAATTGAAGAGTACAACAAAAATCTTAATTGACCCCCAGAGTTCAAATTAACCTGCCTAACGCCTAAAAATAATTCCCCGAAGAGGTGGGCGTTGCCTCCTGAAAAAATTGCTTTTTAGTCGCAAATTTCACAAAAATTCTCAGGAAAAAAGTGGAATCTTCGGTAATTGACACCAAGAAACCCAAATTTCGTGGTCTCAGAGCTCTCGTGACCCCCTCGGTGTCAATTACCCAGGATACTACCTTCTCTCGGAGAATCTACGCCAATTTTGCGACCGCAGAACAATTTTCGGAGGGGGCGCCGCCCCCTCCGAAAAACAGGGTTTATTTTGCGCCATGAGTGTGCCAATTTGAGCTCTTTGAGGTGAAATAAGGTTTTGTGTTGAACTCTTTCATTACGATGCTATCCATTTGAGATTCATAAAGGAGCCCCGACTTTCAAAATAAAGCCCCCCCCCCCCTTTGAACTCCTAGGGGGGCTTCATAACTATGAAATACGGATATATTCGGGTCAACTACCTGGGTTACCGTCTTTTTTCGGAGAATCTACGTCAATTTTGCGGCAAAGGGAAATTATGAAAGGAGGTACTGCACCTTTCTTTTTTGGGATCATTTGTGGGCCTAGGGTGGGCCGATTTTGGATTTTTAGGGATCAATGTCGAGTGAAAGTTTCCGTAGTCTACAATTCCTATACGATTAAATCTTGATTCGGTCGGAAACCTTATTGACTTTTAGGATCGTGACTCCCCCTCCCCCTTACCCCCCAAAGGTGACAGGGGAGTTTCAGGACCATGAAATTCGGATTCCTTTCCGTCAGTTCCCTATTCAGCCCTGCGGTCCTTGACTTCGTTCGACGTGAAAAAACCGAGAAAAAAGCTTGACACGGGTGATCTGGGATACCCCATATTCTGCACTTCATATTTTTGTTTCCTATTATGTCTATGACTTGAGTGTTGGTACTCTTTTCAATATGTTGAACAGAGTTTAACTTATTTTCCTGTTAGTCATTATTTCCATTTCATTCGTTAAATAAATCTGGATAAATTCCTCTTTTTTGCTTGTGGAGTTTGTACTGTCCTTACATTCTTGTCTTGTAACTGAGATTATTTCCATGGAAATTATAATAAAAGAATGCCAAATGATATTTGAATCGCGCTGCGCAAAAACAGCTAATGTCAATTTTTTGTAATTTTCAGATATTTGAATTATAATACTCTTGGAGGTTACACATATACATTCGTTGATATGATGAAAATATCCAGCTTTTGGGTTTGAGCCCCTTTTTAAATGGGGACCGTGCCCCAAATCATGCAAAAATGGCTGATGTCCATCATTCGTTGTAGGTCGTGACAATCCGCTGCGTTAATGAATTTAAATCATACATACCTGAAGACTTTCTAGAATACTATGATGACTTAGAAAATTGGCTAGTAGCTGAAGCAAATGACTCTTCCAATGAGAAAAGTAATGTGAGTCAGAAGAAGTATAATGAGCTATATATAAGATCTTTAGTAGAAATTGTTTCAAAAGAGATTAAAGTTCCTCTTTTTATGTTCCTTTCGATTGTTTTGCTCTTAAAAGATACTTTTAGTTAATTTTTCAATAAATACTTAAATATCTGTGTTTGCGACTCTCTGGAACCGACCACGCAGAAATGGGCCTGTTGCACACTTTTGCTAGAACAATAATAAGATTTGTTCCTTAGAGATGATGTTTCAAAAATCACGATGAGCACATCTGCAAACTCTGAAATCCGCTATAAACGTCACAATCTGCTTAAGAAATTTGCGATTTTTAAGCTTCCCGCTTCAAAAAGGTTACTACGGCACAGGTGAACATTTCGTTAGAGGAGTCGTTCCATTCAATCCCTGCTCAACATGGCCTACGCTTCCGTGCGCAGATTGAAGAGAGCATGAGGTCAATCAAGGCGGATATCTATCAACACGAGAAAAATGTGAATATAAACACACCGATTGTTATCAGGTGGTTAGAATCATCGTCCCGTCACATGTGTTTTGGCGGATTGGTGTCGGCTATGTTGAATATTGCGTAGTATCCTTGTGAGCAGAGATTGGACGGAATGACTCCTCTAACGAAATGCTTACCTGTGCCGTGGTATCGTTCTTGAAGAGGGAAGCTCGAAAAATCGCAAATTTCTTCTGCATATTGTGAAGTAAGGAGTGCACTTCAAACTTTGCCGATGCGCTCATCCTGATTTTAGAAACACATTTTATGAGTAACAACTCTTGTTCTTGCTCCAGCAAAAGTTTGCAACAGGCCCATTGTGCAAAAACCACTAATATCAATTTTAATGCCGCTAGCTCTGTGATGAATTCTCTTTTGAATGTCGCAATGGAGATGTTGCATGTGTGAGGAATTTGCGATTTGACTGTTGATTCTTATGTAAAAGTTCGCAAGAAACACGATGGTGCCGCTGTGTTTCTCTGAAATCAACTCCCAAGCTCAAAAAAAGCTCTGAAGTTGAGGTCAAAATGGAGGGGATATCCCACGCTATCCTGAAAGTCCACCTCTACATCAAAACAAACTCTCCATGCAAAGATAGGGAGCGTAGGGAGCAAATACATTGACAGGGCTGCCACTTTATTTGGGGACTCCAAAACTGAAAACATGGCAACCCTGCTAATGTACTTGCTCCCTATCTTTGCATGGAGAGTTCTTCTTGATGTAGAGGTAGACTCTCAGGATAGCAAGGGATATCCCCTCCATTTTGACCTCAACTTCAGAGCTTTTTTTGAGCTTGGGAGTTGATTTCAGAGAAACACAGTGGCACCATCGTGTTTCTCGCGAACTTTTACCTACATAAGAATCAACAGTCAAATCGTAAATTCTTCAAACGTGCAACATCTCCATTGTCAAGAATTTCACTTCGTTTACTTTATATGAATGACATTCTATCGTTTTAGACTCTTTGCTTCATAACTTGGCACTTTTTACAAGTCATGCAAAAACCGCTGATGTCCAGTATCTCTTGTTCTCAATTACTCCGTTCAAGAAAGGAGAGGGGTCGAGGAAAGTTAGGAATCTTTCTCCACATTCCACTCCTACGATAATTAACTTTCAAAAATTTTTCAATCTGCAATTTTAATGGCTTAAGCAATTTTTTTTCGGTTTTCTGAAAGTTAGAGACATTAGCGGTTTTCGCACGATACGATTCATTTGCTATCGACTGGTCCCAATACCTCCTCAACAGACAATATCTAGTCACTGCCGAATTATAGTGAGAGTTCTTAATACATGGCATTTTGATGTGGCGATACATTGTGCCATGTGTTACAGTGTTGCTCGGTGAATTTACACAGGCTTTCCTGGGAATAGGTAAGTAATCAAGTCAAAATGGACCGATGAGACAAATCTCACGGAATAGTAATTTTTACCAGAGAATACAGTTTAAGTTAATCATATTTACAAAAAAATTTTTGTTTTCTTGAGTGAAAAAATAATTATGATTTAAGAACTCACCATACTTTCTCCACCAAATTTGCTGTTGACGCTGTGCTCCAGGAACCGTAGATTTGATGGCTCTGCTCTGACTGTGATAACATGCAAACTGTCTCCCTGAATGTTATTCAGCGATATTGTGCAGTCTTCAGATCCAAAACCTAAAATGTTTTCTGAATTCCAAGCTGCTGTAGTTATTCTTTTGCTATGCTTTGCAAAACAAGGCAATCTCCTGGCAAATAAAAAATTGTAGTACATTAGAGCTAGTTCAGAGATGCTAATGATGTCACTCATGACTCACTACAGACTTCACCCATGAATTGAACAGAGGCATGATGGATATCTTTACTGATGGTTGTTTCAAAATCGGCTGATGACAAAAATCTATTGAAACTTCCTATCAAGAGTGGCGGTAGCCACCCCCGGTCGAGGAAAATGACGTCCTACTAAAGTCCCGATAACAAACGGGTGGCCGACACTCTTAGTCACAGGAAACTCCCTTAATCTGAAAATTGATTCGGTTGGAACTCGACTGCAGCCAAAACGACGGCACGGATTCCTACGATCTTGGTGTCTACGGACGCATCTCAATTAGGACTACAAAGTGGAAGAGTTTCATTATGATCCATTGAGTTTTCAAAAAGTTATAAGCACTTAATGACCCAAAACGAGGAAAATTTTACTTTTTACGAGGGGTATTCGTAAAGTAAGTTAATATTTGTCATATCTTCTATATGTCTTATATATGCGGCTTCATCCTGCAAATCGTCAAAATGGAATTTTTTGTTTAAAATTTAAAATTTCCATGTTTTTGAAGAACTGGCTTTACTGTTCCACGTACTCTCCATCTCGTTGGACACATTTTACATACCATGACAAGAGATTTTTTATTCCATCAGCGTAAAAATGGCGATTCCGTTTTTGCAACCACTTTTTTACAGCTTCTTTCACCTCATCGTCGTCCACGGAACTTTTTTCGCCAAAACTCTTCTCTAGTTCAGTTAATAAGTGATAAATCACGTGGGGTGAGATCCTGAGAATAAGGAGGACGTGGGAAAGGTCTCATTTTAAGGAGGTCAACAACAGATTGGCCACATGAGCTGTATGGGGCCTAGCATTGTCATGAAGCAGCATCACTTGACGAGACGAAAGGCTAAGGTATTTTCTTTTTAATGCTGATTTGAGCCTTTAATGACATCACAGTTTCTGTTTGCATCAATATTTGTGCTTCTTTCTAAGAAATAAATGAGTAACACTCATCGAGCACCCCTAAAGACGCGCGTCAATTTTGGACACGCAATGGTGAGAGGCGGATGTGGGAAAACTGATGTCATTCGGCACTCAAAATACCGAATTTAAAAAACTGAAGCTTTTTAAAAAGCTGAGAGTATGACAATTCACAAACTCTTTACAGATTTAAATTATCTTTATTAGTTTAGAAGATATGACAAATATTAACTTACTTTTCGAATACCCCTCGTACTTTGCCGGGAAATTTGAATTTCAAGAGTCCAGGGTCCTGAGAAAGTTACTCAAACTCCGCGATAACGGTAAACCCTAGACCTATATAAGTTGGTACCTAAAGAATCGCCATGTTACCGTGTGTGCCGGTTTTGACTTTATTTTAACATTCCGAATGTTTTAGAAGAGAAATAACGTAAAAACGACTAAACTGACTGCCAACCTCCCCGTCAAGACCACCTTTCACAGCAGATTTCTCGCTTACACGTTGGCCGATTCCAGTGGAACCTGCAAAGGATCAAGGTTGAGGATATGAGGATTTCATTTCTACCACATTTAATAGGGCTTCATCGCACGGATAATTCAGCATCGGCTAATATCTTTCACAATTTTAGCTATAACTTTTGAATTTAGAAAAAAAACCAGTGGTGGTTCAATGCCATTGGTTCATTCTGTTCAGGTCCGTCCGAGTTTCGGGAACGAAATTCCCGTCGTCGTCACCAACCTCCAACCTCCAGGTACTATAAAGTTGTGAATAATGAACAGATTTAATTTAAAAGTTCAATTCATTTTAGATCCTAACTACTATTTCTTTTTCTGTTAGAGCCGGATGCACTACTTCATTGATTTCTCTTAAAGTGCTCAAGTGATTTCTACATATTGAACGATGAATTTATGAGTGAGGTTAGGTTATGTCTAGCTGGCCGTATCTGCTCCAAGCGATAAATTAATGTAATTTAAGATGATTAAATTACGAAATTGTGCCAAAGAATCAAAAGGATGCAGCATTTACATCCCTGTTTGCATTCTCATAACAAACAGCACCCAAAAATTTCTAAACCATTTCGTGCATTTGTAGACAAGCGAAAAGCGCAACGGTGGATCGGAGAAAAGTGCTATGGTTTCAATTACATTGTTATTTTCCTCATGTCATGAATGCTAGTCTTCACATCTTGAAGAGAAGTTTTTTTTAGTGGACCCTATTAGATATAAGTTAAGTTCTATGTTTTCTGCATGATTAGAATGCTTCACCAGCTGGTGGCGAGAAATGCAGTTAGGTGTCGGATTCTGCCATTCATCCTACGTGTTGATTAGTTTGTGGCTATAGCTTTCTGAAAAAGCGAGGTACAGTTTTATTTCTTCTCAGTAGAGTTCAATCATAGGTCAACTTAATGTCACTAAATCACAGATCTTTGATGATGAGCATTAGCTCAAATTTTGTTTTCTCCGAGTCTCTTTGATTTGGTGTCAGTAGGTGTTAGAAGCACTATTTTGCCACTGAATGTCTAACAGGATCTCTCGTGAAGGGTATGTACTCATTCCATCTTCTTAACTTGACAATTAACTTTAAATGAGCTTCACTTTGCTGCATCTATTCCTGCGTGAAACAGGAGCATCCATTCCTCCTCTGTCTAGAAGCCAAACAAAATGCATCACCCATCTCCTTGGATGGCCCAGCCACCTGATCATTGAAACTATGTCGATACGGTGCGATGAGACATAGTCCTATCTTAACCTTGCAATGTATCGCAATTTGATGTCATATCGGGCTGCTTTGAGCTTTTAATAATTGGCCCACAGAATTATGGAATGAGCAGCAGATTGATTGAGATCCTCTTGCTCACTTACATGTCAATTATCATTATATTAACAATTATCTTTTTATGCAGCCAGAAGTATGTCTTCATGATCCTTACTTTGTCTATGAGCCTTGCCTGATCGCATCAGCCCCAGTAAATGAGAGGATATACCCACCTAAATCGGAATGGAAAGCTTTGTTTAAATCGCCGCCCCTCTTTCTTGCTGCTTATGTGAGGGATAATCTCCACCCTGTTAATGGATATTTAATCTCTGTTCTCTGTTTTATTTAAATGAGGACTAGTTTGCTAGAGGGAGCCTCTGTGTCATTCATGTATTGAGTGTTTGTTTACATCAAGTCATAAGAAATGTTTGCACCCACTTATTGCTATTTATACTTATTGCTAGATGTGTTACTGAAGTATTATTCCATTATGACCTAGCGAGTGCTTTCTAAGCTCAGCTCCCAGCATGTAATTACTCCAGTGAAACAGTACACATAAAATATCAGGTGTTCGGAGTTCAGTATTGACCTACCTAGTTTCTGCACCGCTAATCGTCCAAGGCTGAATGTGATTAGATCAATTGGTATCATTTATAAGAAGAAATGGAAAGCTCGCATATCACCTTCCATATAGTAACTAAATGCTCTTATCAAGAGATTGCCGTTTCGGTTGATGTCTGTCAGTGAACCTTAAAAACTCAAGGAAACTAAGAGGTAAATTTTGCAATATTTTATCCTTAAAATGCCTGTATTACGACCAAATACTTTCTCCGTGGCTATTGCATTTTTTAAAATAACTTAAGGCACTATGTGGGCAAGTATATGATTCGACAAATTTTATGGTGAAGCGATAATATTCGAAATTAATCCAAGAGAAAGGCAAGCTATTTCATTGCATGCGCAGGTATTTTTTTGCAATGGCCGATACTTAATAAGGTCAGTGAGAAATTCTCTTAATAGGTATTGATTGTCAGAACCTGCAGCCTGATTGTCGAAATTGTGTGTTTCTCGGGTAGACATAGATGACATAGGTCAAAAGGCGGTACGTGATTGGTCGGCGCTATGTCTTGTCGCTGTTTTGTCCTGCCTCTGATGGGTGGAACCCTAGACAAGCTAAAGGGGTCTCTTAAGTTTCTGACAGTATGTTGTCCATTCCACCAGACAAAGGCACGATAAAGCATATTAAGACATAGTTGATCAATAACGCTCCACCTTTTAACCAATGTCATCTGTGTCTACCTTTCAAACACAAACTTTCAACAATCAGGCTGCTGGCACCCTCAAGTTAGGAAGATCATCTTATGCGATAAGTATGCCTGTTGCCCAATTTTCAATGAGAAATTAGGTATTCAGGGGAGATGAAAATATTCCTCATTTCATTGCAGTCATCGACAATTTTACTTTTACAATGCTCCTTAGAGTATGGTGTAGAGTCTGTAGGAACAAAGTTTGGATGTTTGGATGCTCTAAAGAATAAAAATCCCAAAAGTCATGAAAATGGCTGGTTTAAAGTCATGCCACACCAAATAGACTCATTTTGGTAAAATTTGTGCTCTACTACTTCATTCACTGGTTATTTCATGAATAATTCATCATTCTATACAGAGTACCTATGATTTATAAGGCAACGCTCACATGAATTTCCACTATCATCTGATAGGTTGCTGAGTGATGAAATTCAGTATCGAAAAACTTGCCGCTAGCATTAATACAAATACAGGTGCGCTTAAGAGGGATGATGTATGTAGTTGAAACAAATGAGCAAAATTATTTTGTCACTTGGAATAAGCTTACAGTGTAATGCCTATGACAATAAGTTATACTCTTTTTCCATCAATTTTCTCACGCAGGTAAATGACAACTCGATAGCTATTCAACCCCTCCCCCTCCCCTGTCACCCTTTTCCTGTGAGCCTTTCCAATTGGTACAGATACATTTGACTACCTTAGGTAGCCCCGCTACTTTCAACTACCTATTTCCAGACTGATCACAAGTCAGTGGGTGCTATTAAAAATTTCCGCTGAATGTGTATGTGCTTTAGCAGATGTTGTTTACTTTCCATTCATTCAGGATTTTCAAATAGCCAATAGTACCTACTTAATATTTTATGGCAACACCTTTTTCCATTCAAAAACGAGCTGATATAAACTACAAAAACCCTTAAAAACATTTTCGGGCGAAAAATCCGGTCAAAGAAACTGACGTGTTACATTTTATTAACCAAAAACATTCCCTTTCACCCCTCCAAGAAGGTTGATAAAACTAAGTAAGTAACTATGAGACGGCAAAAACTTCTCTTAAATTCTCAGGGTCCACCAAGGCCACATATGTCCAAAAACTTACTCTATGGTTTTAAAAAAAAGAAACAAAAAATAATCCCTTAACAATAAGAAAATTTAAAAAAAAAAAAAAAAAAAAATCGATTTTGTGGTTCACAAATATGTACATAAATCCTTCGAATAAACTTGAAATCACAAAATCGGTCGAGAAAATCTAAATGAATTTTCTCCTTCAATTATGAGTTCCGCAACAAGCACGACTCGCTTGAAGCTTTCCATACACGAGCCGCAAGAAACTGATTTCTTCTTTCTTACCTACTGATTAAGAGGAGAGCGGGAGCATTTAATTTTTCCTTCATTTATACAGGATGCAACAAGCATGACTCTTGCGTTTGCAGAAACCCTTTCATTAAGGAGATCGCGAGAGCCTTCACCGCGTCCATTTCCAAAAGGGATTACTCCAGAATTTCACGCATTTTAATAATTTAAACGATTCATCTGTTCTTCTCTTCTCTCCTTCCGTCCATAGACAGAGATACAAAATTTTTCCGACTCACTGATGCGACCGGCTCGATGCGTAAACAAGTGTGGATTACCTCTGAGGTGAAAAAAAAAAAAAAAAAAATCAGAATAACACTAACATTACAGCATGGGTGAGTTTTCTTATATCGAGACTTAATTCAATTATTTTAATAACTCCTCATGTCAAATGGGACCCATTCCGTGAAAATGAAAAAAAGGAAAAGTAAACGAAAACTTTTAGCCTTCTCACCATCCAAATCATATGGTATAAGCTTACAGTAAAAGCAACCATGATTTAGATGCAGCGAGGTTAATCGAAAGAGTCTGATAAGTACCTATGTGGTAAAATGGGTCCACTGTTAAAACTGAAGCTGGCGTCAGGGATAAAAAGGCACCGTTTCACTGAGAGCATCGAGCCGGTCGCGTCAGTGAGTCGGAAAAATTTTGTATCTCTGTCAATGGATGGAAGGAGAGAAGAGAAGAACAGATGAATCGTTTAAATTACTAAAATGCGTGAAATTCTGGAGTAATCCCTTTTGGAAATGGACGCGGTGAAGGCTCTCGCGATCTCCTTAATGAAAGGGTTTCTGCAAACGCAAGAGTCATGCTTGTTGCATCCTGTATAAATGAAGGAAAAATTAAATGCTCCCGCTCTCCTCTTAATCAGTAGGTAAGAAAGAAGAAATCAGTTTCTTGCGGCTCGTGTATGGAATGCTTCAAGCGAGTTGTGCTTGTTGCGGAACTCATAATTGAAGGAGAAAATTCATTTAGATTTTCTCGACCGATTTTGTGATTTCAAGTTCATTCGAAGGATTTATGTACATATTTGTGAACCACAAAATCGATTTTTGTTTTTTTTTTTTTTTTTTAAATTTTCTTATTGTTAAGGGATTATTTTTTGTTTCTTTTTTTTAAAACCATATAGAGTAAGTTTTTGGACATATGTGGCCTTGGTGGACCCTGAGAATTTAAGAGAAGTTTTTGCCGTCTCATAGTTACTTACTTAGTTTTATCAACCTTCTTGGAGGGGTGAAAGGGAATGTTTTTGGTTAATAAGATGTATCACGTCAATTTCTTCGACCGGATTTTTCGCCTGAGAATGTTTTTGAGGATTTTTGTATAAGACTGTCGGATAGGATCCCATGAGACTAGACTCAGCGCCAGCATGGGGGGGGGGGGGAGCTCTGCCCCCAGTATCTTTAATGTTATTGTGGTGCGGATAGGTCAAGACTTTCTCGTTTGGACCAACACTTTACACCCATCTATGGCCTTTTATCCACAGGACGTTTTCATGGGATTTGTCCCAATTTCAAATCGCAGGTTTGAAACTTTTGGGATTTTTTCCGGTTACCGTCTCTATAGGACAGGGCTCATACAGTCCTGCGACAAGTTTGCGCCGAAAGAAAAGTTAATAGATAGTAAAATTAGATATTTTTTCCTGAGTTTTCTGTTACCGTAAGCTTCCATTTAAACCTTATTTCAATGGTTGAATCGACTGGCTAGCCATTTTTAAATGGAGATTGGCTAATTGGCCAGCCAAAGTCGACAATGGCTGAAATGACTGGCCATTGTCAACATTGGCTGATTTCGGTCATTGGCTGTAACAGTAACACATACACACATACAGGGTGATCCAGACCACCTATCCACTACCTTTTTCTCGAAAATGGCGAAAAATTGAGCTTCGGGACGAAAACTGTTAAGTGACCCCAAAGAATCGAGTGAAAATATTTTCAGCACTCACAACGCTGAAGAATTCAATCCAAATAGCTCGCAACGCCGCTAAGAAAAATCTAGAGGTAAAATCAAAAGCTGAAAATATGAAGAAATCGTCTGACAAAACGTTTGCTACCGTTTCGGTTGGCGAAACTGTCATCATTCCTATTCCTGATGTTGAAACAAATGGGGATCAAGGCTTCAAAAGGTGTCGATGCCATAAAAAATGCACAACCTGGAGATAGGCGTGCCGCGCTGCTAATGTCTTTTGTGACTGAAGATGCCATGACAGCACTCCATTCACCGACAGATAAGGTAGGAATTTTCAAAAACACTGGATATGTTCCAACAAGACATTGGCTAACATGCCACAGCCATTCTTCTCATTGGCTAGCCAATTTCAGTTTTTCGATCTTTGGCTGGTCTCTTTTTATGCAATTTGGGCAGTGCTGACATTGTTGACTTGGGAGGCAATGGGCCTGTTGCAAACTTTTGCTAGAGCAAAAATATTAGTTGTTCCTTCTAGATAATGCCTCAAAAATCACGATGAGCGCATCGGCAAAGTCTGAAATGCACTCATAACTTCACAGTCTGCGTAAGAAATTTGCGGTTTTTTGAGCTTCCCGCTTCAAAAGCGATACTACGGCACAGGTGAACATTTTGTAAAAGGAGTCGTTCCATCGTCGGCAATACTCATCATGGCCGACGCCAATCCGCCAAAACACGCCGTGTGATGGGACGAGATAATACCTGAACTGGATTAGACCAGATAACAATCGGCGTGTTTTAACGTTCATGTTTTCCACGCCCGAATTGATTGACCTTGAACTCTCCTCGAATTACGCGCGGAACTGCGCGCAAGCGTCGGCCATGATGAATATCGCCGACGATGGAGCGACTCCTCTAACAAAATGTTCACTTGTGCCGTAGTATCGTTTTTGAAGCGGGAAGCTTAAAAAAACGCAAATTTCTTACGCAGATTGTGAAGTTATGAGTGCATTTCAGACTTTGCCGATGCGCTCATCGTGATTTTTGAGGCATTATCTATAGGAAACAACTCTTATTTTTGCTCTAGCAAAAGTTTGCAACAGGCCCATTGTCAACATTGGCTGAATTCCGTCATTGGCTATGACATATGGATAAACGATGTCCAAGAGATGATTATTCAACCGAGAAAGATTACTTACTTGGCGGTTAAGTGATTATAAATGCAGATGTTTCCTTTGATAGACCCTACAGCTAAAATCCAGTCTTTTTTGGCCCAAGCTAAGCAGGAGAGAGTTTCTCGTAGTCCACTATCAACATACTGCTTCTTCTGTCTGTTGGAATCCCACAAAATTATATCATGAGAGCCTTGAGCAATTATGCCCAACATATCACCTTCTGGGTCCCAGCAGAGATCTATGCATGACCTACAGGGGCAATTATCGAAATTTAAGTATGAAACACAGTTATCTTGATCTCAAACCAAAATCAGCATGAAAATTCTGTTTCAAGCCTGCAGATTGGAATGACATAAAACTCAAAAATGTCTCCTATGTGAATCATATTTTAAACTTATTTATATGATCCAAACCACAGGTGACAGGTGGTCATTAATACCTCAAAGACCGCTCAAGTTAGTAGACTTGAACTGGAGGGACTGTGTCCTGCCACCTTGTACTCTTGTGATCTGGGATGAGCTTGTTAAGGTGCTTGTGAAGCCCAACAAATTTTACACATACAAAGGCCATATTACCGGGAGTTGAATTGCTGGAGGGTCCATTGGACTTACAGTGGGCAGACTAGGAATACTAGGATTAACGAAATTCAGAGAGAGCTAAAGACATCAGAGGAAATCTACACCATCAAATTGAAACTTTTACTCTTCTGATTTAAAAAACAAAACCTTAGTGCAGAGTCTCCTTCAATAATATCCGAGGTTGCAAAATTGTAGAGGGACTTCAATGGACAGAAAATGGAATAAGACAACAGAAAAAGGTAACATTTGGGCTATTTGATGGTGCAATTACCGAATTTAATTGTCTTGAAGCCTAATACCCTATTAATGCTCTACATCAATGCGGGGACATACCATGTTGAAGAAAATTGTGCTGATTTTCTGCCATTAAGAGGCCATAGTTTAGGCAAGAAAGGGTTAGTTTTAAACTTGGATGTTTTAACTTTCGTTGAGAGAAGTGCTTTATGATCAACCAGCACAATGCAAAGCATGGCAATTCTGGCTTGTTACATAGCTACATATTTCTTGCAAACATTGGATCTTTTAAATACTTAAATTTTTAAGGGACATCATGTTGCTTCTTACCCTGAGAGATTAATTTTATCAACAGCTGCTCCTTCACGACTGAAAATTGAAACTGTCTGATCAGCTCCTGCTGTTGCTAAAAATCGACCACTTTTAGGTTGCCAAGAAAAAAATACTTCCCCAACACCATGAGGTGAACTCAGCTGATACAAAAGCTGCAATGATAAACGAAGGAACCAATCATTGGATTGAAGAGACCCAACCAGGTGAACAGAGGAACGAAATTCTAGAAAAATGAAAGGGGCTGCAAAAACTTATTTTTGAGGTTGCTTTTCAACCGTTACCTCTCTATTCTTGTTAAAATCCATGCACATGGTTGAACTGTGCTTCCAGAAAAATTAATCACAGTCGAAATTAGGAAAATTAAAAAAACCATGCTTGAGAGCGCTTTGCCCCTCGGACGTGTGCTTCCTCACTGTGGTTGTCCGGGTTAGTTGATTTGCTTCTTTTTGAGAGACCTGTGCAATTGTGCATCCACCATGAGGAGAGTGTGTTTTCCGGAGGGTTTACATTGACTCAACAATTGTTTTAGTGTGGCATGGTCAGAACCGGATTTAGGGGGAGGCCCAAGGTGCCATGGCACCGGGCGGCAAATTTCGGATTTTTTTCGTAGAAAAAGAAAGGAGAGAAAAAATGAGGGAAAACTAAGTACTGGGCAGCGGCGGAGCACTGAATTCCTTTTGAATTGATTCCATCTCCGGGTGAGTCATCTCAATCCTCTATGAAAAACATGGGCATATTCAAGGCGGCAAATTTGCCGCTTGATAGGAAATTATTTTTTGACTCTCTCCGCGAAATTACACAGAATTTTATTTGTTCATGCTCTATGAACTATGAGGGGAGGGCCACCCTGTGCAGCGACTTTATTGCCTCATATGGCTCGATTTTTAGCCTGACAGACCTTTCTTTGTCAAAACTCTATCCACTTTTGTTCGAGAAAAATTTGCAAGATGCGTACCCGAATATTTCCATTGCAATACATAATACCTTTCCGTACCGGTGACCAATTGCTCGGCGGAGCGATCTTTCTCCGCTGAGGGGCGAGTGCACAAGTATCTAAGGATATATCAGTGGCATTAGAGACGTGTGAATGTCGAGATGATGTCAATACATAGAGAGAAAAAAGGAGGTGTTTGCATCTTGAGGACTGTCTACCCCGTGACGTCGAGGTCGGTACAGGTACTCCAGAAAAATCTGGAATTCGAAGTATGAAAAATTGATCATTATGTCCGATTTTTTTGCTTAAATTAACTCAATAAATTCAAACACAATATATAGAATTACTTTTTTCCATAAACTACACCATTTTCGAGAAAATCTATGATAAAAATCGTCGCACCGACCTCCGTCATCAAAAAAGTCCAAGATGCCCGAAATTCAACCACCTCCTTTTTTTCTCTATGATGTCAATGGAATTCGACATCACTATGCAACTGGATTTCGAGGACATAATAGAGAAGTTCGCGCATGTCAAAGCGGGAAAGAAAAATTTCTAGAGCTTTCAATGCCTCGGTGAAACTCTATGCCCCTCAAATTTTCTCTCTCTTCTCAACTATATCAATCCGTAAGTTTTTCGAAAACTTGAGTAGGTAGGTACATCGATGACCAAAGTGCGAAACCACAAATCTCCATTTGCGACGTTCCAGACTTCCTGTGATACTTTATTCATTCTATGAAAAAGTAGTCAACGTAATTTCTTGACATTTTTTCCCTGTAAGCAGAATATTCTGTATGATTATGACTCTCAAGCTATAAAGTCTGCTTGTTTCTCTTTGGAAAAATAAAATAGAAGCGGAAATTCTAAAACATCGCGACGGAAATACGAGATTTTGCACTTTAGCATCAACATTTAATTAAATCTTTTACTATGTTCAATTTTCGCCTTTTTCGTTCCTTAAATCCTTAGTCCTTGAAAAATCATATCTTCCTCCTAAAATATTTGTTTGCAACACTTTCCTGCATATAGATGCGCATTTTTCTGATTGGAGAATCAGATTTCTCTTCTGTCGTGTTTTCGAAATTTATATTTCGTGCGCATCGCGTGTTTCTATGAGACATTACACAGTACGGGAGGGGGGGGGGCGGCAAAATTTTTCGGGCACTGGGCGAAAATCCGGCTCTGGGCATGGTGAATAGTTATTAATTTTAAATTATATATGAATGGAAAAACAGTTTGTTCGAGAAATTTCTTCCTGTGACTAATTGTGTCACAAAAGTTTGTCCAAAAATTTTGCTTGGGTAAACTTATTTGGCATGGACTTTACTGGCTGAGACAATTGCATTGGTGTTGTAAGGCTTGCTTATCTTGCCTAGTATGTGTTATTTGGTACTTATCTACACCATGAGCTCTGAGACCTCCATTTGCATATCTAGTAAAACTTATTGATAGTTCCAGTGTTCTAAAGGGCTAATTTTCATAATTCTTAGCGCTATCGACCACTAAAGGTCTCTAGATGAGCCCGCTATATTCAAATTATGAAAATTTGACACAGGTATTTTTGTATTAGGTACCTGGCAAAGTTGCGAATTCTCCCATTTAAACAATGTAAATTTTAATTTTTTGTCATAGTTTGTTTGAGCGTTCAACTGGTCCGATTTCCATGATTTTTGCTATTATCAACAGGTGGTAGTCCCTGGGAAAGTTCGCTATAAGCAGAATTTGAAAATAAGACCCGGGTTATTTTATATAAGAGTAGACCAGAGAGCTCAGGAAGGGGGGACAACCTTCGAAATTACCGCCTATAAAAAATGGCGGGCATATCAAATTTAGCGGAAAATGTTGAATTTTCGTCTATTAGTAGGGTACTAGGGGGCTATGCTCCCTTCAATGACTTGAAACCTGTTGACTTGCCCCTTTACTTTATATCATGGACTTGCTAGGGGGGTTTCTAGGGGAAGGAGGGGCTGCACACCCCAAAAAAGTTAAAATCAGATGTACCTGCACGATACCAATATATATAAGTGTAAAAGACAACTCAGCTCTTACTCCCTCTCCTCCCCACCAAATGTTAGCAGAGATGCATTGCTGGAGTCTCCAGAGAACTTGCCGGCATTGCTTACCTGCAGCTTACAACATCTGATGTTAGACTCTGGAGGAATTGCTGAGAGACTTGTTTCAAAGACGTCAGTTTGCAAACTTCTCTCTACATTTCGAATCTACTTATCGAGGTCAGAGGCGACAGACAGTGATGTAGAACCGAAGTTAGCTATACATCCTATTCACTTAGCGCTTAATTTCTCATGCTACATCTTGAGGTTCTAGGCCTGCTGCTTTTTACTTGTTCAGAGGTTGAAAAATATGGAAGATTACATTGAGTTTGTGATTTCAAAATAAACTGTAAATAAAGTGCAAAGAATCGGTCTGACAACAACAATAATGCAAAGAGATGACGTCAAGACATCAGGTAACCCTCCAAGCTCTCCGCTTCACATTCCTCCAGAGAGCTCTCCGGAGACTTTAGCAAAGTAGCTATGCTCATGAGAAAATTGCATAGTACCAAGGGCATCTCTTCAGGCACCCATATAAATATATCAAGAAACAACTGATCAGCATTACCTCGTCTTCAGCCATTCTCAATTAGGTCTTCTGAAGTGATTTGATTAGATACAGTACGTAAAGCACGTGATGCTCACTTCAAAGGTGTGATCATGTTCAGTCAGTTCAGTAGAGCTGATTCTAAATATTACTACTCTACAACACCGGCAGAATTTCGGTCCGCATTCAACATAGCATTAGCATTCTGATAACATAGAATAAATAGACTACGTCAACAGAAGCGAAAGCTCCGTAAGAACCAATGTTAACATTTTTCTGCGCAGATTGAAACCAATTTCGAGGTTACCTACAAATATAAAAGTGGAAAAAAACATTAAATTTTAAGCGAATATACAGTACTTCTTCGGTTTAACGATAAATAAGTTAAAAGAAAACTCTTACAATTCCTTAAAACGTATGTATCCGTTATTATTCGACCTCTCCAAAACCGCAAACGTAAACAGTACTTATTGAAACAGCCTCCTTTCGGTATGCTTCGTTGACATGAAAATGGCGGGGGCTTTCGCTTCTGTTGACGTTAGTCTCTTTATTCTATG